AATCCAAGGCTTTGTCGAGTGGGTAGAGTTGTTGCTAGTAAGTCTATGGAAAACAGGGGAAGTGACTTTTCCAAGAGGCGTTGGTGCGCAGGAAAAATATGGGGGTTGGCTATGAGAGAATTTTAAACCGTCTGTTTTTACTTGGTGATAATATGATAGAGACTTTTCCAAGAGGCGTTGGTGCGCAGGAAAATATATGGGGGTTAGCTATAAGAGAATTTTATACCGTCTGTTTTTAATTGGTGGTAATATGATAAGGACTTTTCCAAGAGGCATTGGTACGCAGGAAAAGTATGGGGATTGACTATGAGAGAATTTTATATTGTCTGTTTTTACTTGATGGTAATATGATAAAGTGTTATTGTTGTAGTGTTGAAAATATGTACTTGTGGATATTATGAATGAGTTTTGTTACATTATGATAATAGTAGGTGAATTATATGTTGACATGCATGATATGTGATGTGATACATGTTTTGCTCACCCTTGCATGTTTGTGGTGTTGGTTTCTACCTGCGATGATCGTATGACTTGTGTTATACGAGAGTAGATGTTGATGTAGATACTGTTAGAGAAACTTAGCGGTGAGGAGCTTGCGGGGAAGCTTTTTGGGAGTTTTTTGTAAGATATTTGAAAATGTCATTTTGAATATAATGTAATAATGTAATGATTTTAAGTTTGCACTGAAAAGATTTGATATTAAGTCTCATTTTGATGGTTTAAGTTAGTTGTTTGGATGAACAATATTTTATTTTGACGAATAAAGAAGTTTAGGATAAATCTTTTATTAAGTGTTATTTGAGATAAAATAATTGTGGAAAAAAAATGTACACGTGGAATCTCGAAAGGGGTGTTACAATCTGCTTCTTAGTTTTCCAATAAATCAAGGAGGAACCAAGCATAACATAGTATGCGGTGATTGATTTTCTGGACTCAAGACAAGTCCCCCAATCTGAGTCAGCAAAGCCAGTGGGTGTAAGAGTGGAATTGACAAAAAAAAAACCTTTAGTTGGTGATCCTTTGAGATATTTCAATACTCGTATAACAGCCTGATGATGAGACTGTAAAGGTCTGGAAACGAATTGACTTAGTTATTGTGTGACATAACAGATATCAGGCCTGGTGGTAGTTATATAAAGCAATTTACCAACCATTCGCCTATAAGCTTGAGGCTCTGAATAAGGTTGAGATTGACCACTAGTTAACCTTGTAGAAGGATCCATTGGAGTGCTGACAGGTTTGGCAGCAAGCAAATATTCCCGACTTAGAGCAACAGATCTCGAGGCCTAGAAAATATCGCAAATAGCCTAAGTCCTTGATGTTAAATTGTTTATCCAAGTGTCCTTTAACAGATGTGATTTCACCTATGTCATTGCTAGTGAGCACAATGTCATCTACATAGATCAATAGAGCTGTGAACTTATTGTCATCAGACTTAGTGAAAAGGGAGTGGTCTGCAGCTGACTGAGAGTAACCAAGAGAGAGCAATGCAGTGATTAATTTTGCATACCACTGCCTATTGGCTTGCTTCAGTCCATATAGGGACTTGCGCAACCTGCAAACTTGGTTGGAGTGGGTTGCTGTCATGCCTAGTGGTAAAACCATATAGACCTCCTCATGTAAATCGCCATGTAAGAATGCATTATTCACATCAAGTTGTTCTAAGAACCAATTTTTCACAACAACTAGTGTGAGGATTACCCTTACTGTTGTTAGTTTGGCTACTAGAGAGAAAGTATAAAAAAAATCTACTCCTTCTAGTTGAGTGTAACCCTTGACCACAAGTCGCGCTTTGTATCTCTCAATGGTTCCATCAACATGATATTTTATCTTATACACCCACTTGCACCCAATAGGAACCTTACCAGGAGGGAGATCAACAAGAACCCAAGTGTTATTTTCTTCAAGAGCCTTAATCTCAACAGTCATGGCATTCTTCCAGCAGTCTAACTGAGAGGCTTGTGCATAGCTTTGAGGTTCAATAAAGGAGGTTACATTGCAGCAGAAGGTTTTATAAGATGGGGAACAATTATCATAAGAGATATAAGATGACAAAGGATATAAAACTGAAGTAGAGGGTAAAGAGTTACCGCAAGAGGATGATTGGTTTAGTTGAGCATCATGATGGACTATACGTGTTAACCCCTCAGCATGCAACTCTGACAAAATTCAAACACAATTCCTCTACTTGTACTAGATCCTCTCATGATCCTGATACTTCTGTCCTTTGACACCTTAGATTAGGCCACATTTCTGACTTCAAGTTGAAGATCATATGTCAACATTTTTCTTGTGTTCCTTATAAAAACATTTTACCATGTGATGTGTGTCAATATGCTAGACAAAGGAGATTATAATACAGTTCTAGTATTAGTAAATCAATGAAAATATTTGATTTTATTATGTGGATATATGTGGACCATGCTCTTTTACTTCCATTTTAGGTCAGAAGTACTTTTTAACCATTACGGATGATTTTTCCAGATTTACTTGGGTTAAATTAATGAAACATAAAGGTGAATCTAGGAATCATCTTCAAAATTTTGTAAATTATATTGAAACAAAATTTAACACCTAACTTAAAAGCATACGAAGTGACAATGGTCCAGAATTCTTCATGACAGAATTCTACCTTAGCAAAGGAATCCTCCACCAAACCACCTATGTTGAAACACCTCAACAAAATGGGGTGGTTGAAAGAAAACACCAACACATAATGAATGTTACAAGAACACTTCTTTTTCAGGCTCAACTCCCTAAACACCTTTGGTGCTATGCTGTAACACATTCCATTCATCTGATTAATAGACTACCAATTCCTTTGATAAGGCAGAAATTACCCTATGAAGTACTTTACGGGAAGGCTCCCACTCTTCATCATTTAAGGGTCTTTGGATGTTTAGCATATTCTAGTACACTGCAAGCAAATAGAAATAAGTTATCATCTAGAGCTAATAAAACTGTTTTTATTGGTTATAAAGATGGAACAAAGGGTTATGTTCTATATGATCTTCAACTTGGAGTAAAAAATGTGGCCTAACCTAAGGTGCCAAAGGACAGAAGTATTAGGATCACGAGAGGATCTAGTACAACCAGAGGAATTGTGTTTGAATTCTGTCAGAGTTGCATGCTGAGGGGTTAACACGTATAGTCCATCATGATACTCAGCTAAACCAATCATCCTCTTGTTGCAAATATGTTTAATGAAACAAAATTGGGAGTGAAAAACAAGGTAACACTGCAATGTCTTAATCAATTTGGTAACAGAAATTAGGTTGACTCAAAAATCAGGTATATACAATACATCAAGAAGGATTAAAGAATATGAGATATGAACTGTACCAGAAAAAATGGCATGTGTTTTGGATCCATTAGGTAAGGTAACAGATAATGGAGTAATTCTTTTTAGAGATGTTGAAAGTCATGTGATCAGTTGCACCCGTGTCCAAAAGTCACTGATTATAATGTTTACTTGTGTTGGACAAGGATTCAATGTTTAAGGCTGTGGTATGAGCAAGATTGGAAGAGTGTGAGATAGTTGGAGCCCCTTGATTAGACTACTGTAAGAGTGCCAATATGCCTTGATATTGTTCCTGAGTGAAGTTAACACTTGTTTGTTGGCTAACGACCTGCGTTGGAAACCCTTGGTCATTGTAATCATCGACTATGCTTGTCGTATTTGCAATTTTGGCCCTTGGCTTATAGCCTGGTGGGAACCCATGTTTGAAATAACATGTGTCGATGGTGTGATTGCTTTTGCCACAGTGAGTGCACAATTTATTGTCAACATTTTGTCCTCTTCCTGCACCGCCTCGTCCTCTCCCCCTTCCAAAAGCACCTCTCCTAGCAGTACCAACAGTTGGAATGAGATTAGTATTAGCAACAAAGACCTTATAATTAGCATTAGTATCTGCGATTACTATCGAGTTTATGTGTCTTTCCTGTTGAATAACTAGCGAGAACACCTTATTGATGGGGGGCAGAGGGTCGATGAGCATGATTTGAGATTTGACATGAATGAATTGATCATTTAGACCTTTAAGAAAACGGATTGCATAATTTTGATCCCTATATATTTTGAACGATTGAATGACTCCATAAGTACAAGAAATGGAGTATTTACAGTTGACAACGAGTCTGAAATTTTCAGTTCATCCCATAAACTTTTTAATTGGATGAAATATTGACTTAGAGACAAAGTCCCTTGGTGCATGCGATCGATCTCTTCTTAGAGATCTAAGATGCAAAAGATGTCACCCTGTGAAAACATGTCCTGTATATCATTCCATGCGTCTGAGGCTTGATCAATCCATAAAATAGATTGCAGAATGAAATCATCTATTGATTTGTGTATCAGGCCAATACCAAAGTATTGCAGCTTTCCCATACTCCATACAATCATCAAGGAAGGGGTGAGACTTCCATCTACTAGTTTCAGATTATTCTTGAATAATAGAGTCAACCTCATCACTCTTGTCTACACATGATAATTTTGACAATTTAAAAGAGGGGAAACTAGTGATTGAGAAGAGCTTTCATTGGCGTGAGAAAAAAAAAGGATTAGAGGGATTGGTCAACTAATTATCATAGGAGCTTTGGATTACCATCTTTCACAATTTCAGAAAAAAAAAAAAATGAATGACACAGACAAAAAAAATGTCTAAGAAAATATAAAAACTATTGACAGTCAAAGCTCTTTTCAAAACTCTGATAGGATCTTATAAATTAAATAGTCACATTTTTATGTACAAAGAATAATAAACAAAGACAACTAATCACTATTAAAATGGGTATTCAGTGGTAATAAGGGTTAAAAAGAAAAAAATTCACATCCTTACTCGTTGGGTTGACGATGATATTTTTTATCATACGAATTATCGTACATTGTTTTTCTGAAACAAAGATGTTGTGTTGCAGATGGTTACAACGAGTTAAAGATAGTGTAATATAGATGAGTATTACAAAATTGTTCACTTCAGCTCCAGTGGTTCATGTGTGCAATGTTCAACCTTGTTCGGCGTAAAGGCATCCCCATCATCAACCTCGCTCTCACCCACTCTTCTTCATCATTCTCATTTGACGCCATCATCCACATCCTTAAGTCCTCCAACACCATTGCTGAAGCCACCTTCCTCACCAAACATCACCTCCAAAACTCCTGCAAAACCCATACTTTCTTTTCCTCCCTTTTCCAATCTCTCAGCCGCGCCAACCTCACGCCCCGAGAGTACGGCGTTCTCGTACTGGCCTTCTGCCAACTGGATCTCGTCCAGGAAGCCCTCTGGGTCTTCAAAAAGCATTCTTTTTTGCCTCCATTACAACCTTGCAACGCGCTTCTTCATGGCCTCGTCAAGACTCAGATGTTTGATTCAGCGTGGGAGGTGTACCGAGACATGGTGTCGCGCGGGTTTTCCCCCACCGTCATCACCTACGGCATTTTGATGAACTGTTATTGTGTCCGGGGCGATTTTAGCAACGCACGTAGGATGTTCGATGAAATGCTTGAGAGAGGGATTAAACCCAATGTTGTAATTTACACTATTCTCATTCGAGTGTTTTGCAACGAGGGTCAAATGGGAGAAGCCGAGAGTTTGTTTGGACGAATGAGGGAATCTGGGATGGTGACACCCAATTTGTATACTTATAAGACCCTCATGGATGGGTATATCAAGATGGGTTATGTGACACGGGTTTTTGATTTGTATAATGATATGCTAAATCGTGGCTTGCACCCTGATGTTGTCACTTTTGCTACTTTGATAGATGTTCTCTGCAAGATGGGGGATTTGAAGGCTGCGCGAAACTGTTTTGCTTATATGGCCAAGTTTGCTGTTATTCCGAATGCACATGCTTATAATTCTTTGCTTGATGGGTATTGTAAAGCGGGCAACTTGTCTGAAGCAATGCATTTGTGGGTGGAAATGGAAAGCTGTGGAATTTTCCCTGATGTTTTTACATACAATATACTTATCAAGGGTCTGTGTGACTCGGGTAGATTGGAAGAAGCTAAGGGTTTGATGAAAAAAATGGATGAAGTTGGGGTTCTTGCCAATTTTGTGACCTACAATATGTTGATTGATGGCTGCTGTAAAACAGGTGACATGGAGAAGGCTATTGAGGTGTGTTCCCAAATGAATGAAAGGAAAATTGAACCTAATGTTGTCACGTTTTCGGCATTGATTGATGGGTTTTGCAAGAAAGGCAATGTAAAAGCTGCAATGGGCTTGTACACAGAAATGGTGATCAAGGGTCTTGCACCTGACGTTGTAACTTACACAGCATTGATCGATGGACACTGCAAGGTTGGGAGCACCAAGGAAGCTTTCAGATTGTACAAGGAGATGCTAGATGCAGGACAGGCACCCAATGTGTTAACAGTTAGTTGTGTAATTGATGGCCTTTTGAAAGATGGAAAAATGAACGATGCAATCAAACTGTTCTTGGAGAAAACTGGAGCTGGTTGCGCTGGTGCTAAAATGAATGTCAGGTTTTGCTCTCTGAACAGTGTAACGTATGCTATTTTAATTCAAGGTTTATGTAAAGATGGACGGATTTTTAAAACCACTAAATTTTTTGCGGAAATGAGAAGGAATGGTTTCATACCAGACATGCTAGTTTATTTCACCATGTTGCAGACACATTTTCAGTTCAAGCATATGGTTGATGTAATGATGCTGCATGCGGACATGGTGAAAATGGGTGTTATGCGCAATACTTCCTTATATCGTGTATTGTCTAGGGGCTATCGGGAGAATGGATATTTGAAATCAGCTCTTATGTGTTCTGAGCACATGATGGAATATGTCAAGATATATTAGACGGGGTTTTAACAACTGATCTCTAGTTAATGAAATCGCAAATGTGACAAATTCATAGTACCTTACAGACACAAGTGATGTTCCCCAGGCTATATCATTGGCACATATGGTGCTTATTTGGTACATTAGTGTTTGATGGAAGATGAATGAATCTGTTTCGACTTTAGATCATGACCATAGCATATCGCCAAATTCAGAGACATCAAGGGGACTTGCTTTCCACTTTTGATGGCTTGTGACACGAGAAAGGCATATTAACATTGGATTTATATTTTCTTCTCATCAAAAGAGTAGCCATGACAGAGGAGAACTGACACCTTTTTCACAGGAGTTACTGATATGCTGATCTTACTGCGAATTCTTTCTGATTTATTTCATAAAAACAAACCCAGTGACTTAATTTTATGGTGAACCAAATATGAATAAAAGAGTTCCCATTCGAGGAAACACAAGTTTTATGCAGTTTTTAATTATTTTATTTCAAAGTACCGATACGCACGTTTTCACACTTCCTAAACTGTCCAATGAATGCTAAAAATATCTCAAATTAAATTCATGTATTCTACCAGAAAAGTGCTAAAGTTTTTCATGGAACAAAACTTAAATCTCATTATTTTTTTTGTCTCCTTGATAAACGAGTGCTTAAAAAAACAAAAGGTTTGGAAGAAATATATTTTTTTTTCTTTATATTTTGAAATTTTGATTGCTGATGAGTCTTAGAAATTATAAATTTTAAGAATGATAAAATTTTATTTGACTGTTAAATATATTTCTGAAAAAAATAGCTATACAAACATTTTAGCAATCAAGAGCTAATATGTTATTTTTATCAAATTTTCAATTTAGTATTATATTAAATTATGTAATAAAAATAACATGCTATATTTTTTTTCCAAGAGATTTCTACTTTTATTTAAGAAAGTTACTTTCTGACCTCTTCCATATAATTTTTTTTAAATGGTTAAATATCATTTTAGAAATTTTTGTTTATTATGAATGTTATCTTTTAAAATTTAAACTAAAAATATAAAATATACTTTATGACTTTAAATTCTCTTAAACTTAAAAAAATTTATTTCTACAAACATTCCCATATGTTTGTTTTTTCATTAGGTTCAACTGAATTTCAATCCCATTTTTTATTTTCTTTTTAGTTTGTATACTGGAAGTGGAGAAACAAAATTGAAGTTATATCTTCCTTCTTGTTTCCTTCTACGTAATGAATTGGAAGTAAAAATATTTCATTTCATGGAATTTGAACAAGTTTCGAACTACGCCCTTATAGATCAAATCAGTGTTATCATCGTTTCCTTAACTTCCATCATTACTTTGTATACTCTTATGCTCTATGCAAATAAGGAAGACGTAATAATATTCATGACACACTTGAAATGGTTCAACGATTTGCTTCGAAGCAGCGTGAACAAGTTGGTTCGCGTTCCCATGTCTACGTGGCATCACAGAGCTGAGTTCCCCATTCACCTCAAACCACCAAAGCCCAACCAAACCCTTAGGGAGCACCTTGAATGCAACAGAAGCACCGAAGTGCTTCTACTTTTCAGATCATTGTTTAGAGAAAGACCCTCTTTCAACAACTCCATTGACAGCTTTTCTCTGCTTTATGCCCTCAAAGCCTGCAACAACAAACACTCCTCCACCCAAGGGAAACAACTGCACACCCTCATCATAAAACTAGGGCACCAAGCCATAGTTCAACTTCAGACATCCCTATTGAAAGTCTATGCCCAAAGTCGCAACCTGCGTGATGCACACCATGTGTTCGTTGAAATACCCTCTAAGAACATCATATGCTGGACCTCTTTGATTTCTGCCTATGTTGACAACCACAAGCCCGGAAAAGCTTTGCAACTGTTTAAAGAGATGCAGAGGAACAATGTGGAACCTGATCAAGTCAATGTGACCGTTGTTCTGTCTGCCTGTGCTGAGATCGGGGCATTGGAAATGGGTGAATGGATTCACGCTTTTGTGCGGTGTAAACATGGGCTGAACAGAGACTTGTGTTTGGATAACGCTCTTATAAACATGTATGCGAAATGTGGGGATGTTCGGACGGCTAGGAAGGTGTTTGATGGAATGAGAAGCAAAGATGTTACAACTTGGACTTCCATGATCGTAGGGCATGCAGTCCATGGGCAAGCATATGAGGCTCTTCAACTTTTCTCAGAAATGAGAACAAGTAGAGATAAGGGTGATTGTGTCATGATCCCAAATGATGTAACGTTCGTTGGAGTTTTAATGGCTTGCAGCCATGCAGGGTTGGTTGAGGAAGGGAAATGGCATTTCAGAAGCATGAGTGAAGTTTACGGTATAGAGCCCAGAGAGGCTCACTTTGGCTGTATAGTGGATCTCTTATGCAGAGGTGGGCATCTGAGAGATGCCCATGACTTCATTATGGAGATGGCAATGCCCCCAAATGCGGTTGTCTGGCGAACCTTGCTAGGGGCTTGCAGTGTTCATGGTGAATTAGAGCTAGCTGCAGAAGTTAGGCACAGACTACTCAAGTTGGACCCTGGCTATGTAGGTGACAATGTTGCTATTTCTAATATTTATGCAGATAAAGGCATGTGGAACAACAAGATACTTGTGAGGAATCAGGTAAAACAGTCAAGAGCTGGCTGTAGCTCAATTGAGGTGAAAAGTGGGGCTGGTGAATTAGTGATCGCTGATGTCGATCATCCTTTATGACAGATAAGTGATGATGTTCCATGGAAGCTTATGGTTACTTGCCAAGGGATTCTAGCTTATTAAGCTCCAATGAAAGGTAGTTTAAATATATATATATATAAGCAAATTGTGCAAAGCTATTTAGTTTTTCTTTTTCAACCATTGTTATTGTAGTTAAAGTCGGCCTAGAAACTAGCTCAAAAGTTCCAACAACAAAAGTGGTATTAACTTGTATCTGTCAAACCTAACCAATTCAAGATTCAACTGTGAAGAATTCACGGATCAGGTTTGTCAGTGATACTTTTAGACCATCGATGTGTTTTAGATAGCTTATGTTATGAATACTGTATATATTTAGGTTTGATTAATCAAAGAAAGGAAAATAACAAAGAGCAGTAACTTCCAGCTCATATAAGAATCTCTTGTCCTTAATATTTTGTTAGTATGTACCCAGTGACAACAACAATTGTCATTCTTTAACTAACATCTTGCAAAGGATTAGTCATTTATTGACGGGCTTTTTTACGTTTTTAGGTAAAAAATATATGGTATTTACATGATAAGGTCGATTTTAAAATTTTTACCAAATTGGTTATAATCCTGCTTAGAAACACAATTTCACTACGAAGAACTTGTATTTGCCGAGACAAGTTCAGCGAACTAATCCTGAAATCGTATTAGGTGGCATGATTTCAACTGAAACTCATTTTTTTTAATGAAATTGTGTTAGGTAGCACGAGTTTGTATTAGGTGACATGATTTCAATTGATTGGTCTTGTACATCAAATTCGAAATGTTTTGGATTGTACTTTTGAACATAATACATTCTAACATGTTTGCTTTCTCTAAGTAATATATTAATATCTTTTGGATATTCGAATTAAGCTCATAATATATATTATACTTTCATGTCTCTTTCTATAAATCAATATTTAGTTTTCTCAAATGTAGTCTTAACTATGCCACATGTAAGTAAGACTCGTGCTCCTTTTAGAACAAAAATCATGGACTCAGCAAAATTTGTTATTATATGTTCATATCGTCTACCTCCATCATAAGTTGAGTCCATTTTTTTAATAGAATTTTATCTAATAAGGATATTTGTTGTTTGAATTCAGACCTTAAAATATATAATTTTGCTTAAAGTGTTGGTTGTTTCATCTCAGTATCCTACAAAGAAAAATATATTTTCATAGATGTTATTTAACAAAATAATTTTTTAATGTTAGAAGATGTTACCTAAATTGATAACTTGTTTTTCCAAATCAACATTTGATAATTTTTTGTTGAAGTTTGAGACAATATGACAAATATAGTACATTGAAGTTAGATCGTTCCAATCAAGATCTTCATATTGTAGGGCTGACAATATTCATGCATAAATTATTTTGAAGTGTAACATAATACCTTCGAAGTTAGAAGAATTATACCAATGTCTATTTTGTCTCACTTTCAATAATTGCAAATGCAAGTGAGAATATGTTTTTATTGTCACCTTGTGTAGTTGTAATCAATAATGCAACATGATATTTTTTGTTAGGAATGTGTTGTCAATTTGAATAGTTAACTTGTAATATTTGAAGTCTTCTATATATGACTTAAATGACCAGAAGATACGTTCTAATATAAATGATAAACTATGGACACCATGTATTGAATAAGGAGAACAAATGTAATGAACAATTGTGTCTGGATTACTATCCATGCTATTTCCAATTTCCAAATGTCATGACCATAGTATGACTATTTCCATTCTCCAAATGTACGACAAGTGTCTTTTGTTTTGCTATTCATGCATTTCTAGAAGTGATCGTGTCTTTTACTTTTTCAATTAAAGTTTTCATAGGAATAAATAATTTTGTTTTAATTAATTCATAAATAATATGAGTTAAGTATGTTTTTAGTCCCTATAGTTTCATGTGAAATTGAAAATAATCTCTTTGTCATAATTCACATAAAAATGATCCCTATATTTTTGAAATGATTGAAATATGTTCTTATTTTAAACGGCGTTAAGTATATGCTTGACATTGCCTAACAAAAATGGTATGACTCATTCATTATTTGACACGTGTAATTATTTTAAAAAATAAAATTAAAAGGTGTCAAACTTTTAAAAGTTATTTAAATCCGCGTTTATAACATTTAAAAGTTATTTAAAAGCAATTTAAAAAGAAATTTAAACTTCTCTGCCATTTATAAGCTATTTAAATCCAAATTTAAAGTATTTAAAAGTTATTTAAGAGTGGATCTATGTCCAGATCATTCCTTTTGAATTTAAATATAATTAATCTTTAATAAGATCAACTCTAGATATGGTATACCACCATCGCACACTACCGTTGTGCACCACCGTCGCACCGCCAGTCGAACCACAACAAACCGATGAAACCCTCGAACTTCAAAGTCACTTTGACTTCATACAACCTTATCAGAGAAAGGGGAAGAAAGAAAAAACCTTTGGTGTGTGACAAGAAAAGAAGAGAGAACGAAAATTAGCTATGACGAGAAAAGAAGAGAGAATGAATAGTGGTGGTGACGAGAACTGAAGAGCTTTAGTGCGTGAGGAGAAAAGAAAAACTTCTACTTTTTAATTTTATTTTTTTTTAAATAATAATATCTGTTGAATAATTTCTTTTTTTTCTAAAGAAAAGCTTTGTTTTTTTTTTTAATAATTACACCTGTCAAATAATAAATGGGTCATATTATCTCTCGTTAGACAGGTCACTATATATTTAACGTCGTTTAAAATAGAGACCTATTCCAATCATTTCAAAAGTATAGGGATCATTTTTATGTGAACTTTGACAGGGGGACTATTTCCAATTTCACATGAAAGTACAGGGACTAAAAACATACTTAACCCTAAATAATATTAACAATGATGGTAAAGTCTAAGTTTTGATAATTTGGATTTAACATTGTGTTCAAACATATATGAGTTATTCCATTTTTTAATCTCCTATTGGTTACGAATTTTGTTGAATCAAATACAAGTTCTCTATTGACACTTTTTATCATAATTTATACAATGAGTAATATATTTATAAATATATTGAGAGAATTGTGTTATATTATCATTTTGAAATAGAAAATAAAGATATTAAGAAAAGTATGAACATAGATTAATTTAAATTAGTAAATTTACATTAAATAGAAATAAAAATTACGTATATTATTGTACAAAATAAATTACAAAATATTTAATGGTGAGTCCCTATCCCACAAGGTGACCTTCTAATTTATCGTTTCGGTCTATGTGGTTGGTTTTTGGGTAGACGTTTGTTGTGCTTGTGTAGTACACCTACGATTATGTGATGGTTAAGGTTGAACATTTGTTTCCTTCTTATCATTATCATCAATATCTTCATTTGCATACTGCATAGAGAACATATTGAGGATAGTAAATATGAAAGAAGCTTGATTGATGCTGATAGTGGTGTTATGGGAAAGGTGAAAAACATATTTGTTTTAAAGGGAAGTAAAGTAAATATATGAGGAACCGGACCTCCAAATCCAAATTAACCAGGTAAATTTGAAGTTGATCAACATATCCAAAAAATAAATAAGGTTGTTGACTAGTTTGACTAATGTGTTGATGATTCAACTGATCAATATATTGACCACTTGATTGATCAATATATTAATCAGTTGATTGACCAACAAGAACATGACTAGATTGACCAACATATTAGTATTGTTCCTCCTTAGTATCATCCTGTATAAAAAAAAATCCAACATTAGTTTTATATTTATATTATTATATACATATAATATTATAAATTACATACTTTATCGTCTAAATCTTTTTGTTGAATAATATGCTAAAAATATCATATTATATATGGTGTAATTTCACGTAAGTGACCATTTTAGTGAAATTTGTTTACTTGAATTAAGCAATTATGACGGTCCTTTCACATAGTAATTCACACTTCATGAGATTGCGGTCAAAATCTATTTGGTCAAAAATTGCATTATTATATAAGATATGTCAAATAAATATAATTATGATTTAAAAATATATATTAATTTTGTTTAGAAACACATACAATTATAATAAATGAATTATCCCATTTGATTTTAATTGTTCAAATGTCAAATATAATGCATGTACAACATATGATGACATTAGACTTTTGACCTAGTCTTGATCACCTATTGCATATAAAAAATAAAAATAAAGTAATGTTGATGAACACATTTTATTAATAATTTTATTAGTATAATTTATATATATTTAGTATATTTTCTTAATTATTGATTAATAATTAATATATTACAAAAAATATTAAAATTACCGATGGTCAAAATCATGTCGGTAAATATTTTACGAAATTATCGACGGACAGGAATCCATCGGTAATATTTTTATTATTTATTGCATTTTTTATTTATTTTATAGCCTATTTTTTTGAGATCCCCCTCCCCTTTACATTTTTAATATTTATTATTATTTATTTCACCTCATTATATTTTTATAGCTTTCAATTATTATCGGATTAAGAGAATTGTCATTGGCAAGATTCGAACCTAGTAAGCTGATACTCGAACCACTAAGCTACTAGAATTTTTCGATAATAATTTACAAATAAATTATATTTATATATTTATATATTTATATATAATTAAATATTTATTTTTTAAATTATTTAATTTAATAAATTATTATAAATTAATCTAATTATAATTAAATTAAATTATTAAATAAAAAATATTTAATTTTTTAATTATTTTTTAAATTATTTAATTTAATAAATTATTATAAATTAATCTAATTATAATTAAATTAAATTATTCAATAAAAATATATTTAATTTTTTAATTAGGTGAATAATTAATTTATTATAATATATTAAGTAATTATTATATAATTTTACCGATGGATATATCCGTCGGTAATTATTTATTAATTTATCGATGGATTTACTTGACGGAAATATTCGTCGATAAATAATTATTAATTTACCAACAGATTTATTGATGGATATATCCGATCGGTAATTAATTATTAATTTATC